TGCTGGGATTACAGGCGTGAGCCACCGCGCCCGGCCTGCACACCCTTCTTAATGTGCTTATCCTTTGCACAGGGCATAGCTACTCACAGTGGACTGCACTGTTCTGTTTGCACCCTTAAATTAATCGTGCTTAGAGTGCCACTTCTGCAAACTAGTCAAGTAGGGGGAAGTGGCTCATGGATATACACGCTTGCTCATCCTGTTTGAAAAGGTAAGCAGCTCTGAATTCTTCTTTTCTTTTTGAGATGGAGTCTTGCTCTCTTGCCAGGCTGGAGTGCAGTAGTGTGACCTTGGCTCATTGCAACCTCTGACTCAGTGATTCTCTTGCTCCGTTGAAGTGATTCTCCTGCCTCAGCCTCCCAAGTAGCTGGGACTACAGGTGCACGCCATCACACCCAGCTAATTTTTTTGTATTTTTGGTGGAGAAAGGGTTTCACCATGTTGGCCAGGCCGGTCTCGATCTCTAGACCTTGTGGTCTGCCCACCTCAGCCTCTGAAAGTGCTGGGATTACAGGTGTGAGCCACTGCCGCCGGCCAAATTCTTTTCTTTTTTTTTTTTTTTTGAGATGGAGATTCACTCTTGTCACCCAGGCTGAACGGCAGTGGCATGATCTTGGCCCACCGCAACCTCTGCTTCCCAGGTTCAGGCGATTCTCCTGCCTCAGCCTCTCAAGTAGGTGGGATTACAGGTGGCGTACCACCACGCCTGGCTAATTTTTTGTATTTTAGTACAGACGGGGTTTTCACCATGGTGGCCAGGATGGTCTCGATCTCCTGACTTTGTGATCCACCTCCCAAAGTGTTGGGATTACAGGCGTGAGCCACTGCGCCTGGCCCAGCTCTGAATTCTTAGTCTTGAGAGGGTCTAGGTCAGCACTGATCAACTCTGTAGTGCTGGGCGTGGTGGCTCACACCGGGAATGGGAGCACTTAGGAGGCTGAGGTCAGAGAATCTATGGAGCCCCAGGAGTTTGAGACCAGTCTGTGTAACACAGACCCCATCTCTACAAAAAATTTAAAATTAGTTGGGCATGGTTGTTCTTGCATGTAATTCCAGCTACTTGGGAGGCTGAGGTGGGAGGATTGTTTGAGCCCAGTAAGTTAAAGCAGCAGTCAGCCATGTTTGCACCATTGTACTCCCACCTGGGTGGGAGAGTGAGACCTCGTTTAAAAAAAAAAACTTGCAATGATGGAAATATTCTATAGCTGCACTGTCTGAAATGGTAGCTGTTAGCTACACGTGGCTATTGAGGACCTGATATATGACTAGGATGACTTAATTTAAAAAAAAATTTTTTTTTTTTTGAGACAGTCTCACTCTAGTGCCCAGGCTGGAGTGCAGTGGCATAATCACAGCTCACTGCTTGACCTTCTGGGCACGGGCAATCCTCCCTCTTCAGTCCCCCAAGTATCTGCAACCACAGGTGTGCACCACCACGGACCTGCTAATATTTTGATTTTTATAGAGACTGGGTCTCACTGTGTTGCCTAGGCTGATTTTGAACTCCTGGGCTCAAGCGATCATGTGCCTCAACCTCCCAAAGTGCTGGGATTATAGACCTGAGCTACCATGCCCAGCCTGGTTTAGTTTAATTTCATTTTACATGCATACATTTATTTATTTATTTAATGATAGGTCTCGCTCTGTCACCCAAGCTGGAGTGCAGTGCTGCAGACACAGCTCACTGCAGCTTTGACCTCCGGGGCTCAAGCAGCCCTCCGACCTCAGCCTCCCAAGTAGCTGAGACCACAGGTGTGTGCCACCATGCTTGGCTAATTTTTCATTTTTTTTGTAGAGATGGGGTCTTGTCGTGTTGCTCAGGCTGGTCTTGAACTCCTGGGCTCAAGCATTCCTCCTCTGCCTCCCAGAGTGCTGGGAGGACAGGCATCAGCCACCATGCCTGGCCCAAAGATGGATTTTTACCTCTAGTGTGGTTTAGCCTTAAGACTGTACAGCAGATAGAGATGGAAAAGTAAGATGAAGAGAATATCAAATTAACGTTTATAAATAAAGCAGTTACTAATTAAGGTGGGTTTTTTTTAAACCTTTTTTTATTCTGGGTTACATCATTCCCTGGCTGTCTTTACCCCAGCAGCAGTGAGTCCCGCAGTCACTAGAGCCCCCTGTGAGGACAGATATTTTGGTCACCATCAAGTGGATGTTTATTTTTATCTACCATTTCCAGTGCTGCCAGTTCTGATTCTTCCATTCTCTTTGCCGTGAATCCCAGGACCCACCTCTGATGTTCAGTGAAGAGTACCAGAAAGCGCTGCTGGAGCAGTACCATCTGGGTCTGGATGAAAAACGCGGAAAGTATGTGGTTGGAGAGCTCATCTGGAATTTTGCCGATTTCATGACTAACCAGAGTAAGTGGCAGTTTGGCTCATGGGATAATGTACCTGTCCTCATTTTTTCAGGTTGCCTTGCCAAATTCTGGACAGTTTGGTTGTAGGAGTACTGGAAACAAAGCAGGGAAGCTGGTTTAATCCACATAGGTTGGGTTGAGAGTTTCCTGGGAAAAGTCTGTGCTTAGGAAGCAGGAAAGCGATCAGGCCCCGCTTCCCAAATACGGTCAAAAAGCAAACAGGAGTCTGCTACAGTGAGACAGAAATGGACAGCTTGCCTTATTCTTGTTTGTTTCATAGTCAGGGAGGAAGGAAACACTGGACCTCATCATGGATTTACTTCTGGGATACACTCATTATTCCATAGCAGGGTGCAAAGCCTGCAAAGCTTAAGGCATTTCAGTCTGTTTTATGTTATGCAAAAAGCAGGCTCACTGAATACAGGTGAGTTTCAACATGCCTTCTGTGTCTTCAGGCCAGGCATGGTGGCACATGCCTGTAATTCCAGCACTTTGGGAGGCCAAGGCAGGAGGATTGCTTGAGGCCAGGAGTTCGAGACCAGCCTGTTTAGCATAGCAAGACCCCATCTCTACAAAAACAAAAAAACAAAAAACAATTAGCTAGGCATGGTGGTGTCTGCCTATAGTCCCAGCTGCTTGGGAGGCTGAGGTGGACCAATCGCATGAGAGTAGGAGTTGGAGGCTGCACTGAACTATGATTGCACCACTGCATGTGAGCCCGGGTGACAGAATGACTTGTGGTAAGAAATGAACTATAGGCCTGCTATATAGGAGGTGGCTCATGCCTGTAATCCCAACACTTTGGGAGGCCGAGGTGGGTGGATCACCTGAGGTCGGGAGTTGGAGACCAGCCTGACCAACACGGTGAAACCCATCTCTAAGGCTGGGCGTGGTGGCTCAAGCCTGTAATCCCAGCACTTTGGGAGGCCGAGGCGGGTGGATCACAAGGTCAAGAGATCGAGACCATCCTGGTCAACATGGTGAAACCCCGTCTCTACCAAAAATACAAAAAATTAGCTGGGCATGGTGGTGCATGCCTGTAATCCCAGCTACTCAGGAGGCTGAGGCAGGAGAATTGCCTGAACCCAGGAGGCAGAGGTTGCGGTGAGCCGAGATCGCGCCATTGTACTCCAGCCTGGGTAACATGAGTGAAACTCCGTCTCAAAAAAAAAAAAAAAAAAAAAAAAAAAAGAAACCCATCTCTACTAAAAATAAAAAAATTAGCTGGTGTGGTGTGCATGCCTGTAATGCCAGCCACTTGGGAAGCTGAGGCAGGAGAACTGCTTGAACCTGGGAGACAAGAGGTTGCAGTGAGCCGAGATCATGCCACTGTACTCCAGCCTGGGCGATAGAGTAAGACAGAGGAGTTTTTTTCCCTCTTGTTGCCCAGGCTGGAGTGCAGTGGTGCAATCTTGGCTCACTGCAACCTCTGCCTCCCAGGTTCAAGCAGTTCTCCTGCCTCAGCCTCCCATGTACCTCAGATTACAGGCGCTTGCCACCACGCCTGGCTAATTTTGTATTTTTAGTAGAGATGGGGTTTTTCCATGTTGGCCAGGCTGGTCTTGAACTCCCGACCTCAGTGATCCACCTTGGCTTCCCAAAGTGCTGGGATTACAGACATGAGCCCACTGCGCCCGGCCGAAACTCTGTCTTAAAAAAAGAAAAAAGAAGCGGGCTGCATCATGTTAGGCAAGCCCCCTAAGCTTTTCATAAGCCTGTCAGGTGGGGATAACGCCACCGCCTGGTGGTTTACTGTAGGGCTGCACTTGAAGTGCTTGGTGGAGCCTGTGTTCACTTACGGAAGAAACAGTCCTGAACCTTTTGGTGGGAAAGTCCTCCTTTCCATTTAACATTTCCATTTAGTGGGGGTCTCAGCAGGGGCGGGCGGTGAGTGTCCTGGGAGCACAGCCCTGACAGGTTGTTGCCAGCTGTGCTCCCCACCAGCCTCAGCTTGGGCCGAATGACCACCAGTGGTGGGCACCAAGCTGGGCATTGGCCCCAGAGGATTTTGAACTCCATGAGTAGGTCCCACGTAGGCACTTGTGGCTGGTCAAGACCCTGGCTCCCACTAGGAGCTGTCTCTTCAGAGAAAGGCCCAAGCCTTTTTTTTTTTTTTTTTTGAGATGGAGTTTTGCTCTTGTTACCCAGGCTGGAGTGCAATGGCGCGATCTCGGCTCACCGCAACCTCCGTCTCCTGGGTTCAGGCAATTCTCCTGCCTCAGCCTCCTGAGTAGCTGGGATTACAGGCACGCGCCACCATGCCCAGCTAATTTTTTTGTATTTTTAGTAGAGACGGGGTTTCACCATGTTGTCCAGGATGGTCTCGATCTCTTGACCTTGTGATCCACCCGCCTCGGCCTCCCAAAGTGCTGGGATTACAGGCTTGAGCCACCGCGCCCGGCCTGGCCCAAGCATTTTAAGGGTAACTGTCCCAGATACCCCCAGCCCTCTGCCTGACCACTTACGAGGCAGTTGGGTACCGAGCATGGAAACCTTATTTTGGAAGTAAAACACAAACTTTGGGAATTTTTTTTTGTTTGTTTTTTAGACCAAGTCTCACTGTTTCCCAGGCTGGAGTGCAATGGTGCCATCTAAGCTCACTGCAACCTTCACCTCTTGGGTTCAAGCAATTCTCGTGCCTCAGTCTCCCAAGTAGCTGAGACTACACGTGCCCACCAGCACACCCGGCTGACTTTTTGTTTTTTATTTTATTTACTTATTTCTTTTGAGACAGATTCTCACTCTGTTGCCAGGCCCCAGGCTGGAGTGCAGTGGCACAATCTTGGCTCATTGCAACCTCCTACTCCTGGGTTCAAGCAATTCTTCTGTCTCAGCCTCCCGAGTAGCTGGGACTACAGGCGCACGCCACCACACCCAGCTTATTTTTGTATTTTTAGTAGAGACGGGGTTTCACCATGTTAGCCAGGATGGTCTTGATCTCTTGACCTCGTGATCCACCCGTCTTGGCTTCCCAAAGTGCTGGGATTACAGGCGTAAGCCACCGTGCCTGGCTGACTTTTTGTATTTTTAGTAGAGATGGGGTTTCATCATATTAGCCAGGCTGGTCTCGAATTCCTTACCTCAGGTGATCTTCCTGCCTCAGCCTCCCAAAATGCTGGGATTACAGGCATATGAGGCACCACACTTGGCCACTTTTTTTTTTTTTCCCCATAACAGACTAGAAAACTAGAAAAATAACACACCAGGGAACCTAGGTATTTGGGCAGAGTAGTGGTATTTAAGTATTTCAACCCCTAAATTGTCACTTCAGAGCAAGCATCCCGAAACTGTAAGAGGACATTTGGCTGAGTGCAGTGGGCTTGTGCTTATAATTCCAGCACTTCGGGGAGGCTGAGGAGGGCAGATTGCTGGGGCGCAGTAGTTTGAGACCAGCCTGGGCAACATAATGAGACCTGGACTTAACTTAAAAAGCCAGGCATGGTAGTGCATACCTGTAGTTCCAGCTACTTGAGAGGTTGAGGCAGAAGGATCGCCCGAGCCCAGGAGGTCGAGGCTGCAGTGAGCTATGATTGTGTCACTGCACTCCAGCCTGGGTGACAGTGAGACCATCTCAAGAAGATGAAGAAAAAATTCTATTTAGTGTCCACTTTGGCTCCAGTGTGGGTCTCACTTGACCTGTCAGAAGTTGTCTGAATCGCTTTGTGTCTTTTTTTTTTTTTTTTTTTTTAGCACCGCAGAGAGTGCTGGGGAATAAAAAGGGGATCTTCACTCGGCAGAGACAACCAAAAGCTGCAGCGTTCCTTCTGCGAGAGAGATACTGGAAGATTGCCAACGAAACCAGGTATCCCCACTCAGCTGCCAAGTCACAGTGTTTGGAAAACAGCCCATTTACCTGAGCAAGAGCTACCTCTCGGCTGACACCCCTGCGTGTCCTTCCTGCGAGTCAGGGCGACTTCCACAGCAGAACACATGCCTCCTGGACTGTTCACAGCTGGCCAGAATGTTTCTGGCCTGGGTTTTGTGGTCCGTCTGTGCTAGCGGGGAACACGAGAGGTGGAAATAAGAGATTTTCTAGTATGGAAATAAACAGTTAGCATGAAAATGGCTGCTTAAAGAATCTGAAATCATTTCTGTGCGTCAGGCTGTTTTCAGAGCCTTTACTCTGGACTTCTGAAAAACTCCAACACCCACACCATGTTTAGAGCAGCTGGTTCCAGACAGCATCTGCAGGGGTAGCCTCATGGTCCTAGGGCTGCCGTGTTTCTGTAGCAAACCTGGCAAGCCTCGACGGGGTGAGCAGAAGACTTTCACTGCTGGTGTCTGACTCCCCAGATGGGCTGAGTCCCACAGGTACCAACAAGGTCACAGAAGTGCTGTCATGCTGCAGTACCGCACAGGGTCTGTACACGTTTCCACATAGGTAAGCAGAAGTCTAAACTGGAAGCTCAGAGGTGACCAGTTCTCCCAGGAGTGTTCTCATCTCAGCCAGTCAGGTCTTGACAGGAATGGACAGATAAGCATCAAAGCACATTGGCCTTGTCATAACGGATGCCACTGAAGGTGACAAGACCTCTTCAAACATCAGTATTCCATGCCTTTATACCCCAAAATGACACCACCTGCCCCCCTCCCAGAGCACAGTCTTTCCTTAAGGAATCGCTCCTCCCAGGCAAGGTTAGGGCAAGGATGGTACATCAATTCTGATTTAAAGTGCAATGCTTTGGAAAATAATATTCCTTTTGGTGTCCAATCAGTTGGAAGACAATGAACCAATAGTTTTTTTTGTTCTTGTTTTTGAGACAGTCTGCTCTGTCGGCCAGGCTGGAGTGCGGTGGTGCAATCTTGACTCACCACAACCTCCGCCTCAGGGGTTCAAACAAACAGTTCTTCTGCCTCAGCCTCTCAAGTAGCTAGAACTAGAGGCGCCTGCCACCATGCCCTGCTAATTTTTTTTTTTTTTTTTTTTGTATTTTTAGTAGAGATGGGGTTTTGCCATGCTGGCCAGGCTGGTCTCGAACTCCTGACCTCAAGTGATCCATCCACTTCAGCCTCCCCAAGTGCAGGGATTACAGGCATGAGCCACTGCACCTGGCCTCCAATAATGGTTCTTGCTATACAACTTGATTTCTCTGTCTTGTAGTTGAACCCCCTGTGTCCACACACAGCCCCCTTTTCAGCTTTCCTTTGCAAGCTCCATGAAACAAAGAATAAAGATAATTTAGCCTGGTTTTATTAGGCTTTATCAGTCCATTTTTTAAAAATGAGAGTGTGGTCAGTTCCAATTAGGAATCTAGGGGTTCCATTTTTTTTTGTTTTCACTGAACTTCTCTTTAGTTTTTCAAAGGAATCAAATTTTGTGTTCCAGTATGTCAACGTATAATGGATAAAAGTTGGCAAACATTAAGAAAAATTAAATGTAATAGACACATTTAAATGTTTTACAAATTAAGGGCAGCCCATTTCACAGGTCTTAAGCTTGAGCACAGAACACACCTGTTGTATTTCCATAAAGTATGGCTCAGCTGTATTTCCAATGGATTCATCTTTCTTGCGGATGCTACCTTTTTAGAGGATTATGTGTGGAGTATTCAAGGAAAGCTAAAGTAAAACTATGGAAAAACGGTTCATTGATACATTTTAAGTGTTCACAGAACTGTAGGCAGTGACACTTTTTGTCATTAAATCTTGACAATCACATAGATCATAAACCCACAGGAATTCCATGAACTAGAGGTCTGAGAACTCTGAATCTTCTGCAAGTTACATATCATTTAAGAGAAAAAGAACCCTGTATACCTTAGAAATGAGGTTACAGCATGGACTTCAAGCATACAAGGCTCCGAGTGAGTCTAAAAAAACTCAGCTTCTTTTCTGGAATGCAACCCTGCAGTTGAAGAATAATGGCAGCACAACTTCCACAGGTAACTTCTACATTTATTTTATACCAAAAAAGTTATGTGCAACAAATAAACATTCTTACATATTTACATTTGGTTTTATTTACCAGTTAGCAAAATGGTGCCTTAAATCTCTGATAAAGAATACTTCTATCTAGATTATTAATGGGGAAATCTGCCCAGTGAACTCCATTTTAAATGAATGTTTACTCTGGAGCTTAAAGCACTAGTAATGAATATTTTTGATGGAACATATTAGACCGATGATACACCTAATACTTAGGCCATGCTTAATACAGTTTTATAACAAAACATTTCACCTTTTCTGGACAAATTTGTAGTAAAAAGATGTTTAAGTAGTCAGGGCTCCCACACTTGCCCCTTTTGTTTGATGGCAGAAGGGTCGTTGTCACAATTAGAAACCGTAATGCTGCCTCAGGTGTCTGAGATGTTTCACCAATGCTTGTGTGTTGGAGGAAAGGAAGACAGAAATTGAATATTAGGTCATTAGGTCTGCCTCACCAAATAGGCTTCCAGAAATCACAGTGGGTCTCCTTGTTGGCATCTAATACTGATTTTCAAGACAAGCTCTCCTGTCACTCTTGGTACCAATCTAAATTATGAAGTAATTGCTGAAGATAACTCTACTTTTGCAAATAGTCTTTCCAAAAACTAAATGAAAAAAGTCAACAAGTAGTTTTTTTTTTGAGACAGTTTCGTTGCCCAGGCTGGAGTGCAGTGGTGCAACCTCTCTGCTCACTGCAACCTCCGCTTTACACTGCTGGCTAGCTGCAGTGTTTAAATACTCAGTCTAAAACAGGCACGACAATCTTCTAAGTTTATAACATTGGTGACTCCCCCATCTTCTGGGCAGAACGGAAGGTACAGAAAGAAACCTAAACTCCAGGGCAAAAAACACCAAATTAACAGCCACCAGGGTTCTGATGCTCATTGAGATACTGGCGTTACAATGCTGTTATTACAGGCAGCACGTGTTCCTCTCTCAGTGAGAAAAAAGGGTATTTATTCGCCTGGGCCATAGGAATGTGGCAAAAACTTTTATACAACTGAAATAGTGGTTTCCCCAAGGTTTAGGAAAGCAAAGAAAAAACTGGAAGGGTCTGGCTGACCATTTTTCTGTTTTCTCAGGTAAGAGTTGAAGGCATTTGCAAGAATGCAATATCAAGCCAAGCTTTAACTATACTTTGCTGATTGATACAAACTAGGATGAAAAACCATTGGATATTGGGATGCGAGGAACTTGTTTAGTGTAACTGGTGTAACGTATACCACAGTTTTAACCATGAAGCCACTTCCACCGTAGCTTAGAAGAAAGAACCAGGGGACTGCCCTAGGGGAGCTGGATGCGCCGCCCAAGATGGCCGCCCAGCACAGTCCTCAAACGCGAGACTTCCTTCTCCACAGACACCAGACAGCCAATCAGTGCTTTCTAGAGTTCTTCCACTACTTCAGAACACAATAGTACATACAGACTAAAACGGCCACTGAAAGATTCACATTCATGGGAAAACACAAGCCTTGATGAAATCTTGAGTTAAGCTATCTTTTAAGAAACTGGTTAAAACTGGTGAAAAGTTCATTACAATTTGGACTTGATACTTGCCTTGGGCTAAAAGACCTATGTTGCGTCCATTAATAGTTGGAAACTACTGAATTGTTGCTGACTCTACACATTTTAGTTCACAGAACAGAGTCTGTTCCCTCCCTTCAAAGAGAAGGCAAATAAAGCACTCAAGAGGTACCAGCCTCATTGACTATTTTTAACATAAAACGATTAATCAAATCAGAAGCAAAAACATTGCTGCTGCTTCTCAACCAGAGGAGTCAAATGATCACACAGGACCCTTCTGCAGAGTGCGGGTTTTCTACCTGTCGGCAAAGAAAGGAAGGAAGGACACTTCTGCCCAAGGTCAACACACAAAATATTTGGTTTGAGATTTAAGACAGAAGGCACTTTTAACATTCTGACATCAGATGTTAACCACAGAAACGTCCTGTCACATTGTCATTTGGGCTTACTCGAATCCCCTTTCCAAACTCTTCTTACTGCATGTGTGTCGTTATGAGAGCAGTGGCGACATGACTGTATTTCGCCTTGAGATGTGTCTACCTGTTGCTGTCCCCCGATGAAGCAGACTGCGCAGCATGTCAGCCCTGAAGGTCACAAATCCAGGATTTCACTCCAAAAAAAATTAGACATCCAAGTGGTTAGTGCAGAGAGAAACAATTAGCAAGAACACTGGCTCCCACTCTGGAGTGATAGGGCTTACACTGGTCATTTCCATCACAATACTGTTTGGTTGACTGGCACCAGTATTAAGGAAAAATATCTGTGAAAATTCAACTGGTGGAAGAAAGTTTACCTAAAAATGCCATGTTTATATTTCCAGCTTTTCTCCAAAGAAAAATACCCATCTTCCCATCCTAGTGTCCTCCAGGCCTCGGACTTACTCTGTAAGGTTAACAATTGGTCCAGTTTTACAACCAGACACAAATCTGACTTGAACGTTCCAATTCAATTTCTTCCTTTTAGAAAGTGGGAGATGAAAGGGAACCAACCACCCTATTTTTTTTTTTCGCCCTGTAATTTTTGCAATCGATGCTGCACCCACGGCTGCCAGCACTTTTCTCAAGATGCTGTGTATGGGCTATTCTCACTACCTCCTCAGTCCACGCCGAGCTGACAGTTCTTCAGTGCTAACTCCAACTAAACTGCACAGTAAGTTCTGCAGGGATGGATCCAATATTTCTACTTTTATTTACAAATATCACATAAATGGATTCTAGTTGAATCTACATGTTTAAATCCATCGGCTAAAAACATATTACATATTGTAAACATGGCAATATTTAATACAGTATCTATTCTAAAATATTTTCATGTCATGATCACATTTGTTATACCTGAAATTGAATTTATACACTTTAAGGAATTACTAGCAATGGTTGCTCACTTTACAATTGAGGGAAGGGGGCTAGGGCTACATTTTATCATTTCAAAAACATCTTCAAAGTAAAGTTAAAGCTTGTCTTTGATTGGCTTGGCGTATCCTTTTTGTATCCATATTTAAAATGAAGATTGACACAAAAAATAGCGAGGGCCCCTTCTAATTTATAGGATTTTTAAAAACCAGTTTAAGATTCTTAGGGAAAGCGTCTGTTGTGAAGAATTTAAAAAAAAAAAAAAAAAAACTGCTGCAAAATAAACTTAATGGAAAAGGGACTTGAGACTGTTAGGGAAGAGTCTGTGGAGGTCAGTCCTGCTTGGGCTGCAGCTGCCGTTTCCAAGCCTCGTTCAAGTAAACTAGTCGTTTGTAGTTGATAATGAGAAGAATGAAGTTCAGCACGTACGTGATGACACAGATGATGCAGAACTCCTTCAGCACAAAGTACAGAATGTAGGCCAGGTACAGGGACCCCACGACCGACATGATGGAGGACGTCATGAGGATCAAAGCTGCGACGGCACTTGCTGTCATGCCTGCAAGAGAAGAGACTCAGGCTCGATCAGGCCTTGACCCCCGGAGAGAGGCTTTCTGAGTAACAAGGCCTGACAATGTGTAACTTGTTGCAGTGTTTGAATACTCATCTTCCTGCCAAACTCTGAAAACTGAGAACAGAAATATTGGTCTGTTTTGTTAAAATTATACAGGTTGACTCTGCAGATCAAATGCCAGTTTGTTTGTTTTTGAGACAGAGTCTCACTCTATTGCCCAGGCTGGAATAAGTAGCTCAATCTCAGCTCGCTGCAACCTCTAACTCTTGGGTTTAGGCAATTTTCCTGCCTCAACCTCTTGAATAGCTGGGATTACAGGCATGTACCACCATGTCTGGCTAATTTCTGTATTTTTAATAGAGACAGGCTTTCTCCCTGTTGGCCAGGCTGGTCTCAAACCCCTGACCTCAGGTGATCCGCCCGCCTCAGCCTCCAAATGCTGTGATTACCGGCATGAGCCCAATGTGCTCAGCCAAATGCCAGTTTTATAGCTGCGACGTTTGGTTTCTCAATCTTTCAGGTGAAATATTACTTATTTCACAAACTAGCCTTAGTTGAAAATACGCACACATAGAAAACATGCAATCTCACAATCACATTAAGCAATGAAGCTGACTTGTAACATCGACAGCCCCAAGTCACTAAATGAATAAAGGGACATGAGGACCACAGCCTTTTTCTTCTGAGCTGCACATATTTGGTGAGAACATCTGTGGAAAGTAAAATTTGCTTTTCCATGTTTAGATCAAATTGATCAAAAATCCGCAATGAGAGGTGACTATACCAACAAGCTGCTGAACACAGAAAAAGAGTATCTTGATCAACATTTCAGGAAGGGGCCACCCTGGTCGATAAGGGAAGCCACATTTAGCCCAATGGCTGCATGTGGGTCAAACCTGATCAGAAAAATAGTGGATGAGTGTGCTAAGCCAGGGCTCTCAAGACAAAAAGGCACCTGAGGCCAGGTGTGGTGGCTCACGCCTGTAATCCCAACACTTTGGGAGGCCAAGACAGGCAGATCATTTCAGGTCAGGAGTTCAAGACCAGCCTCGCCAACATGGTGAAACCCATCTCTACTAAAAAATACAAATAAATAAATAAATACATAGATCACACCACTGCACTCCAGCCTGAGTGAAAGAGTCAGACTCTGTGTCCAAAACAAACAACAAAAAAAGGCACCTGAATTCTGGACTCTTATCTTCACATGTATTGTTTTAAATTCCCTACAGCCAACAGCATGGAGAATATGTGCATTTATTTTCAAGGACAGAGAAGGCAGAGCATGTTAAACTACCCTCCTACCTAACAACTCATGGGTAAGGATAACAGAAACAGGAAAAAGAATAACAGGTGGGAGAAAGTTTAAAGAAGTCAATTAAAGGGCTGAAATCCTGGTGCCTGTTGGCAAAAAGAAAGGCAACAAGAAGACGCCTGTGGACTGGCTGCAGCACAGCCAAGGGACTAGATGCTTTCACAGGTGCATCAAGACTAAGGTGATGCTGAATTACCTATCGCGGGACTACAAATCTGGCCAGCTACCTGCTTTTGTAAATAAAGTTTTACTGGCACTCAGCCACACTGACTCATTTATGTAATGTCTGTGACTGCTTCCACACTAGAAGGAAGGGCTGAGTGGCTGCAGTAGCTGGCAAAGCCTAAACTACTTTCTGCCAGGCCCTTTACTGAAAAAGTCTGCTGACTTCACCTATGCTAAACAACTAACATTTCAAAAATTAATGTGGTCACCATTTTATCTAGGAAATTGAATTTCAAAATGATATGGGCAAGTTTATTTCTTCCTCCACGCCTCTCTTTTCTCAACTGTAAAACCGGGGTAACAATCATGCCTACTTCCCAAGACTGCTGGACAATTAAATAAGCTGGATAATGCAGGATTAAAGGAGCTACCAGAAAGCACTTAGAATGCTCTATAAATAGCAGCTATCCATTAAATACTATTGTATTGCAACCAGGTACTTGTGGCTTGGGGTAAAATTCCCCATGGAATTTAAAATATGCTGTAACTCTAAATAAATGATGGTACAAATATGCAATGGGTTATTCTGCAGCTGTAAAAAAGAATGAAGACATTTAATGTACTGATATGGAAAGATTACAATATATCCATCAAGCAAAAAAAAAGAAATGCAAGCTGCAGAACAGTGGATATAGCATTTGCCTTTTATATTTTAAAAAGGAGAAAAATTTAGATTGTGCATTTGTATTTTCTTGTATATGCATAAACAAATCTTAAACAATAACAAGCTACTAGTAGGGGCTGAGGAGCAGTGGAAACTGGGCAAAAAGGGAAGAAGTGAGACAGATTTTTCATTGTGTAACATTTTATATATATATTTTTTCACGATGGAGTCTCGCTCAGCTGCCTAAGCTGAAGTGTAGTGGCTCAATCTCAGCTCACTGTAACCTCCACCTCCTGGGTTCGAGCAATTCTCCTGCCTCAGCCTCCCGAGTAGCTGGGATTACAGATGTGTGCCACCACACCTGGCTAGTTTTTTTTATTTTTAGTGGAGATGGGGTTTCAGCATGTTGGCCAGGCTGGTCTGGAACTCCTGACCTCAGGTGATCCGCCCGTCTTGGCCTCCCAAAGTGCTGGGAGCCACTGCACCTGGCCATTCTTTTAAACTTTTGAACCACATGAATGGATTACCTATGAAGATAATTAAATTAAAAATGTTGTATCTCAAACAGCTTAGAAGGGAGTACAGATGCCGTGCTCTGGAAACTGTTACGTTAGTTCAAATGTGCCTCTGAAGAAGGAAGACAGCAACATTAAAAAGGCACGTGAAGCGTCTAAATGCAAGTCAAAAAAGGTGGATAAAAAACATATCTGATACATGTGATTTAAAATCTGTACACACCATGACATGAAATTAATGGCATAAACAGAAATTTGGCTGTCATGCCTCTGTCTTCAAAAGTTAATGTAGTCAAAGACTTTTCTGAGGTTCTTTTCTCTTAGGGGAGAACGCCTTGCATTTTTGGGCTTATGCTTCATATTCTTCTCTAGAAACCAACACGATGGAGACATACAGAGTACAAAGTGATATTTCTCCCTCCTCCCCAGCCACCAGACCCTTTTCTGTGCATTTAAATGCATGCATACCTATTACACCACAATTTGCTTTTTTCACCAAATAGTGTCTTTATCTTTCTAGGATATAAATATAGATCTCCCTTTTCTTTTAATGGCTACATAGTATTTAATAGTATTTTTAAATTTATTCAATCATTACCTTTTTTTTAAGCTACTTCAACTTTTTTTTTTGTGGCTACTTTAGACTGTACTGCTATGAATATCTTTGTGCACGTATCTTTGTACTTCTGCAAGATATGAAACTGGGCAAACTTGACAGAACTACTGAGAAGAATTTAGATTTACAATTTGCCTCATAACAAATCAATTTCAGATAGAAAAGTTCCATGTATTTTTAATGAACCAAATCAGAAGAGCTCACATAATGGAATAAAATATTAACAATTAAAATACAAAGGCATTGGTATGCAACAAGATTTTTAAAAAAGCAGAAAAATAAAATGCAAAGGCAAAAATGGATAGATTTAACTCAAAAAGTATAAAAACAATACAATACAAATTCATAACAAAAAGGGATAAAGAAGCATAACATGTTTCTAATACATATGAAAATGTACTATTATCAGGATCTCAATAACCAAATGGGCAATACAAGGAAATTAGAGTAAAATTTAAAGTAATAGGTACTATTGTGTAACTATTAGCAATTTTTCCAGGTGAAGATTATCATTATAGTTAAAAAAAAAAAAGAAATTTTACAAAACACATTTTAAAAATGAAGACTGCTGGAGCTTCAGGGAAACCAGAGAAGCGAGGTTAAAGCAACGTGGTAACGCTGATTAAAACTGAAAATATAGGCCGGGCACGGTGGCTCAAGCCTGTAATCCCAGCACTTTGGGAGGCCGAGGTGGGTGGATCACGAGGTCAAGAGATCGAGACCATCCTGGTCAATATGGTGAAACCCCGTCTCTACTAAAACTACAAAAAAATTAGCTGGGCATGGTGGCGCGTGCCTGTAGTCCCAGCTACTCAGGAGGCTGAGGCAGGAGAATTGCTTGAACCCAGGAGGCGGAGGTTGCGGTGAGCAGAGATCGCGCCATTGCACTCCAGCCTGGGTAACAAGTGCGAAACTCCGTCTCCAAAAAACAAAACAAAACAAAACAAAACAAAACAAAACAAAAAAACTGAAAATATCTGTTTTTTGATTCTATGCCTAGAAATTTATTCTGTGGAGACAATTCAAAGAAGAAAGGAGCAGGAGGTCTTTAAACAAGTTGATCACTGCAGCATTATTTAGAAGCAAAAAGTGTGAAACCTAGATGTTAACAATAACACTTAGGATAAATAACACTATGTTGAAACACAGTTCACGTAAAATTAGTATTAGTTTTTGAGACAGGGTCTTGCTCTGTCCCCCAGGCTGCAGTGCAGTGGTGTGATCTCGCCTCCCTGCAACCTCCACCTTTTGGGGTCAAGCGATTCTCTCACCTCAGCCTCTCAAGTAGCTGGGATTACAGGCGTGTGCCACTGTGCCTGGCTAAGTTTTGCATTTTCTGTAGAGGCAGAGTCTTGCCATGTTGCCCAGGCTGGTCTCGAACTCCTGAGCTCAAGCGATCTGCCCTTCTTAGTCTCCCAAAGTGCTAGGATTACAGGCGTGAGCCACCGCGCCCGGCCCAAAATTATTTTATTTTATTTTTTTTTGAGACGGAGTTTCGCTCTTGTTACCCAGGCTGGAGTGCAATGGCGCGATCTCGGCTCACCGCAACCTCCGCCTCCTGGGTTCAGGCAATTCTCCTGCCTCAGCCTCCTAAGTAGCTGGGACTACAGGCATGCGCCACCACGCCCAGCTAATTTTTTGGTATTTTTAGTAGAGATGGGGTTTCACCACGTTGACCCCGATGGTCTCGATCTCTTGACCTCGTGATCCACCCGCCTCGGCCTCCCAAAGTGCTGGGATTACAGGCTTGAGCCACCGCGCCCGGCCAACCCAGCTAATTTTTTGTAGTTTTAGTAGAGACGGGGTTTCACCATGTTGACCAGGATGGTCTCAATCTCTTGACCTTGTGATCCACCCGCCTCGGCCTCCCAAAGTGCTGNGATCTCGGCTCACCGCAACCTCTGCCTCCTGGGTTCAGGCAATTCTCCTGCCTCAGCCTCCTGAGTAGCTGGGATTACAGGCACGCACCACCATGCCCAGCTAATTTTTTGTATTTTTGGTAGAGACGGGGTTTTCACCATGTTGACCAGGATGGTCTCGATCTCTTGACCTTGTGATCCACCCGCCTCGGCCTCCCAAAGTGCTGGGATTACAGGCTTGAGCCACCGCGCCCGGCCCCAAAATTACTTTTAAAAGCAGAAGACAATAGAAATAGTGCATGTGTAAAGGTGATGGGATTCTGAATATGGTTTCTTGTTAACGTTTCCTTAATATATGATGTTTTTAAAAGGCTACAGAGTCTATAAGGAAAAATTTTATAGGGAAGATGGGAGTGATCATTTCTTTGAATGGGACTGGTTTCTGGACATCATGAGATGCTGCTCTCCATTATTAAACAGCAACTGACATCAAGTTCAACATTAATATAATAAAAATCTTAGTGAATCAAGTTTTCACAACACAAAAATGTTGTACACACTAGTATAAATAACACATGCTTTCATTTAACATCAAGACACTTCAGGGCAAAGACACAAAGTTCTAAATGGATGATAACAAACTTATTTTGGTATTGATAAATACTTACCAAGTAATAACTGTAGTATATAAAATATAAGTCCAAAGACACTGTTTGGCTGGTTTAATACACCATCCTTTCCAAAAATGGAACCCAAAAGACCAAATCCTCGACCCCATCTGTAAAATAAGGAAAACCAGTAACCCTATATTTGAATTTCCCTATTTAAAAAATGTAAAATTATTTGAGAATGTTATCCAATTCTAAAATCAACTAAGTTGCCAAATGTCTTAAATGTCCTGTGTGGAAAGACTGATTTACCCCAAAGAGGGAGGCCAGTCACTAGATTTCTGATTAAAAATATGGCTCTAAAATGAACATATCTAAAAGTGCCAGTATACCCATCTGATTCTCTAAGTTGCCAATTTCTCTATATTCCCTTCTCCAAAAGGTAGGGCCAAGTATTCTTTTTCCAATGACATTAGTGTATGCAGAAGGAGATCTCTCTATGCTTAGCCAGGGTCTCTTACCAGTGGACCACTGACATTTTGGACTAGATAATTCTTTGTGCTGGGGGTCTCCTGCGCATTACATAACTAATAGCATCCCTGGCCTTCAACCCAGGTGTGACTACCAAAACAGTCACAGTCATTGCCAAATGTCCTCTGGGACACAATGGCCCCTAGCTAAAGTCATAGATTACGCTCTGCTATTTATTCACTCAAAGAATGTAGATTGAAAAGTTGTTTCTTCACAAATTTCACCAGGATATTCATTAAGAAATATCCTGGGAATGTATTTTTTAAATGTAGGGCTAAGTGTGGTGGCTCATGCCTGTAAACCCAGCACTTTGGGAGGCCGAGATGGGTGGGTGATCACCTGAGGTCAAGAGTTTGAGACCAGCCTGGCTAACGGGGTGAGACCCCATCTCTACTCAAAATACAAAAAATCAGGTGGGTGTGATGGCGGGCGCCTATAATCCCAGCTACTTGGGAGGCTGAGGCAGGAGAACCACCTGAACCCAGGATGTGGAGGTTGCAGTGAGCCGGGATCGTGCCACTGCACCACAGCCTGGGCAAGAGCAAAACTCCT